GTCATTTATTTTTCAAAAACAAACATGATAAAATGAAAAAGTACACTCTTTGAATCAACCAAATTATTTTCAGGGATAATACACAAAAGGATGTGCAAAATAAATAATTTGAATTACCGAAATGACACTCCCATGGGCTCAAATAGTTCGCTTAAATTCAAATTAAAACTTAACCCCATATATATATATATATATATACATATTGATCCAATAGGATTATGAATATCAAATTTACTATCTAAACATAACTTAAATATTTTATTAGTTGAATAAATAAATAATAAAAAAAAGAGAAGGGAAAAATTATCGATGTGATTCCACCTTATTTTAGAACTCATAGAATTAAAAAAAATCAATACATTCTTTTTTTTAATGAATGTTTTATTGAATCCTATTAATACATAAATTAGCCATCGAAAAATAATACTCGATATAAATTTTATAATAAAAAAAAAAACTTATTTGATATTTCATAGGTATTTAATGCAAATAGATTATTTTGAAAATCAACTATTTTTGTTAACTTTTTTTAATAAAAGACCGGCAAAAAAATAGAAAAAATCGTTGACTTTTTAATAGTCACTTTTTAATTATTTGTCAATTTGAGGTGATTTTGAAACTTGGTGGAAGTTTCTGTTTCAACGATATCATCTATAGGTATAACATTTATTATAAGTACTAACTAAAATCATATATAAATTTCTTAATTCTTTCATATGAGATGTATCTAATGTGTATCTTCCACACAAGTAAAAAAAATTGTACTCCTATTCAATTTTGTGATCGAATTATATGCACTAAGAATTTTTCAAAACTATCCAATGCAACAGAAATTTGATTTTCATGCTATCATCACTAGTTTGTTATAATTTTTTTTTTTTTACCGTCTGAACAAGTCTTTCAAAACAGGTCATGTTATTATCTTTAGTTAGTTGTAACTTTTTTTTACTGGTGAGGAGAGTCAAAATTGAGGGATTTTAGAGGGAGTAAACCCTTAGGACACACGTTTGTTTGGCTCCATAGGTGGGAGGAATGGACTATCAATCTTGTGGGTTCTACGTAGCCCATGTTTGGTTGATAAAAATAGAAGGGGACTAGTAGTCCCATGGGACTATGAATACTCTCACATGGGGGATTAACTTGGCTGAATTTGGGTGGAATTGGAAAAATAGTGAAGGGATTGTGCTTATTTTATATTAATTTTTTTTTTTAATTTTATTTTATTTACCAAGTGCACCGTTTGTTTTAATATTTGTTCTAATTTTTTTAATATAGAAATAATTTATTTATTTATTTTATATAAAAATAATTTAACAATCCTATCATTAATCATCTCTCATACTATAATCAAAACAAATACACTTTTACTTAATCTTTTCATTAATAATTCCAACATTAACGATCTTTTCACTAAAAATTTTTGCACTAACAATCTCATCCAACCTAATCTACCAAACAAATGTGGCCTTAAATTGCATAGATCATTCATCAAGACAAACCCTTGGAGTTACTTAATTGTAACCTGCCAAGTTTGGCATGATTAAAAAAAGACAAAAAGTCAAAAAGTCACTATCCTATTTAAGTCATATCATCTTATTTAAGTCACATCACCTCTCTAACATATCACTTCAAACCCAACCCATATTTCATAAAAAGTCAAAAAATACACTTATTTAGTCTTCCCAAACTAGAAGTATTAGAGGTTTCGTGCAATTCCAAACAAATTACACCAGTTGAGACTATGCGCATTAGCACTACATAATGCAATTAAAAAAATAAATAAATTATTTTGCAGTGTTGGAAGAAAATTTGCTTATTTCCACTTTTTAAAAAATATTGTTTAGAAAATTCTATTTTATTATTTTTCATATTTTTTTTTGTTTTTACTGAATTTTTTAAATATTTTAAGTAATGTTTTTAATTTTTAGACACACCTAATATAAATACACCTAAAAAGTAAAAAAATTATAACAAAAATCTTTTAAAAATTCACTAAATATCAAAAATATAAAAAAAAATACAAGAATTCAGTACATTTTTTGTATTTTTATGTATTTATTAATTTTTTTAAATATTTTTTTACAAATTTCTTACTTTTTAGATACATCTAAGTAAGGTGCATCTAAAAAAGTAAAAAAAAATGTTTAAAATTAAAAAAATATTCACTAAAAATAAAAAAATACGAAAATCAAAAAAGTCATTTTTCAAAAAACTTAATCTAGAAAACTCAAACCAAACACACTGAATACTCTCTGACGGATATGTTATTATCTATCTACCTATCTATTTTATTGAATCATTAAAAAAATTAATAAAACTCTCTGCAAATCAATATATCAAAGCAAAAATAACATGTGATTTTATTCCAAGATCACCAAATCCTTATACTTCAGACAAAGGATACACAAAATTTGCTTATGTCAAACCCTTTGTTTTCTTTATATGGAGTATCTTCTTTGAAAAAGAATAATTAGGATGAGTAATATTATATAAATAAAAAATTTATATATAATGATGTGACTTATTATGAATATAAAAACAAAACACTATTAAAGATAAATATATTTACAATAATAGTATTATCACGTCATTCTTGTTAAGATTTTTTATATAAATTTTATGTATTTTTAGAATTTTTTAAATCAAGAATTAAGATCACCAAATTGTTTAATTTGCTTTAATTTTCTCTCTCTCCCATTTTTATTAAATTATAAGTAATGATATAAAAAGAGAGATTTTGCTTAACCGAGTTTTCGGAATTAATTTTCTTGACAAATTTAAAAAATTTATTAAATTTTAAACACATTGTTATGATTTTTTTTATTATACTTTTATTTCAAATCAAATTATCTATTATTTTGACTTATAATTTTAAAAAAATTATTGTGGACGAGTTTTTTTTAATGAAAATTCTGTTTGTATAAAATTTGTTTAAAAATTATTTATGTTTTTTTTTTAAATACCTCAGCCGCCCAGAATAACCACCTAAATTGCTCTCCCCTTCCTCATTCACATTCTCATTCTCTCTCTCTCTCTCTCTCAAAAAAAAATATCTAACTACACAACACCATTGAAAGAGAATCTCACAAGAAATCAACGGTACATCATCAGATGGTGTGTGGAAGAACAACAAACACAATTCAATTCAAGGCACCGCCAAGCTTTTCTTCCTCCTCTTAACCCCCACTTCCTCATCCTTCATCCATATATTTTCTCATAAACACAACTCCCCTTCTCTCTCTCTCTCTCTCTCTCTCCCCAGATCATATAACCATGACCCTTGATGATTCCTTAAGATCTCTCTCTTTAGACTATCTACACCTTCTCATCAACGGCCAAGGCTTCAGTGATGTAACCTTCAGTGTTGAGGGTCGCTTAGTCCATGCCCACAGGTGCATCCTAGCAGCTAGAAGCCTCTTTTTTAGAAAATTCTTTTGTGGGCCCGACCCATCGGTCGATCTTGCCGGTGGATCAGGTTTGTCCCCAAGGGGATTGAATCCCCAACAAGTGATACCTGTGAATTCAGTGGGATATGAAGTGTTCTTGTTGATGCTACAGTTTTTGTATAGTGGACAAGTCTCAATTGTGCCTCAGAAGCATGAACCAAGGCCTAATTGTGGTGAGAGAGGCTGTTGGCACACACATTGCACCTCAGCCGTTGATCTTGCTCTTGACATTCTCTCTGCCGCTAGATCTTTTGGTGTTGAACAGCTTGCATTGCTCACTCAGGTTTCCTTTCCTTGCTTTCAAACCCAAACTCTCTCTCTCTCTCTCTCTAGACTGGTGTGTGAGTAGTAGTCATATGTTTGTGGGTTTTGGTTTTTGAGAAGTGGGTTGAGATATTTTTTCAGGTGCCTTTTTTGTGTTTTCATTTTTTATTTTTATTTTTTTTAATTTATGATTTTTTGAAATGGGTGGATTGGATTTTGGTATGAATTTTTATATTAAATTCCCCAATGATGTATTGAGTTTGATCTCTCACAGACAAAAAAAATCTTTTAAAATTCACTAAATACCAAAAATACAAAAAAAAAAATACAAGAATTCAGTACATTTTTTGTATTTATTAATTTTTTAAAATATTTTTTCACAAATTTCTTACTTTTTAGATACATCTAAGTAAGGTGCATCTAAAGAAGTAAAAAAAAATGTTTAAAATTTAAAAAATATTCACTAAAAACAAAAAAATACGAAAACCAAAAAAGTCATTTTTCAAAAAATTTAATCCAGAAAATTCAAACCAAACACACTGAATACTCTCTAACGGATATGTTATTATCTATCTACCTATCTATTTTATTGAATCATTAAAAAAATAAATAAAACTCTCTGCAAATCAATATATCAAAGCAAAAATAACATGTGATTTTATTCCAAGATCACCAAATCCTTATACTTCAGACAAAGGATACACAAAATTTGCTTATGTCAAACCCTTTGTTTTCTTTATATGGAGTATCTTCTTTGAAAAAGAATAATTAGGATGAGTAATATTATATAAATAAAAAATTTATATATAATGATGTGACTTATTATGAATATAAAAACAAAACACTATTAAAGATAAATATATTTACAATAATAGTATTATCACGTCATTCTTGTTAAGATTTTTTATATAAATTTTATGTATTTTTAGAATTTTTTAAATCAAGAATTAAGATCACCAAATTGTCTCATTTGCTTTAATTTTCTCTCTCTCCCATTTTTATTAAATTATAAGTAATGATATAAAAAGAGAGATTTTGCTTAACCGAGTTTTCGGAATTAATTTTCTTGACAAATTTAAAAAATTTATTAAATTTTAAACACATTGTTATGATTTTTTTTATTATACTTTTATTTCAAATCAAATTATCTATTATTTTGACTTATAATTTTAAAAAAATTATTGTGGACGAGTTTTTTTTAATGAAAATTCTGTTTGTATAAAATTTGTTTAAAAATTATTTATGTTTTTTTTTTTAAATACCTCAGCCGCCCAGAATAACCACCTAAATTGCTCTCCCCTTCCTCATTCACATTCTCATTCTCTCTCTCTCTCTCTCTCAAAAAAAAATATCTAACTACACAACACCATTGAAAGAGAATCTCACAAGAAATCAACGGTACATCATCAGATGGTGTGTGGAAGAACAACAAACACAATTCAATTCAAGGCACCGCCAAGCTTTTCTTCCTCCTCTTAACCCCCACTTCCTCATCCTTCATCCATATATTTTCTCATAAACACAACTCCCCTTCTCTCTCTCTCTCTCTCCCCAGATCATATAACCATGACCCTTGATGATTCCTTAAGATCTCTCTCTTTAGACTATCTACACCTTCTCATCAACGGCCAAGGCTTCAGTGATGTAACCTTCAGTGTTGAGGGTCGCTTAGTCCATGCCCACAGGTGCATCCTAGCAGCTAGAAGCCTCTTTTTTAGAAAATTCTTTTGTGGGCCCGACCCATCGGTCGATCTTGCCGGTGGATCAGGTTTGTCCCCAAGGGGATTGAATCCCCAACAAGTGATACCTGTGAATTCAGTGGGATATGAAGTGTTCTTGTTGATGCTACAGTTTTTGTATAGTGGACAAGTCTCAATTGTGCCTCAGAAGCATGAACCAAGGCCTAATTGTGGTGAGAGAGGCTGTTGGCACACACATTGCACCTCAGCCGTTGATCTTGCTCTTGACATTCTCTCTGCCGCTAGATCTTTTGGTGTTGAACAGCTTGCATTGCTCACTCAGGTTTCCTTTCCTTGCTTTCAAACCCAAACTCTCTCTCTCTCTCTCTCTCTAGACTGGTGTGTGAGTAGTAGTCATATGTTTGTGGGTTTTGGTTTTTGAGAAGTGGGTTGAGATATTTTTTCAGGTGCCTTTTTTGTGTTTTCATTTTTTATTTTTATTTTTTTTAATTTATGATTTTTTGAAATGGGTGGATTGGATTTTGGTATGAATTTTTATATTAAATTCCCCAATGATGTATTGAGTTTGATCTCTCACAGACATTAATAGATTTCTTCTTTGTTTAGCTCTCTGTAATCTTTCCATGTTCAACTTCTAAAGCTGATGAAACTCAGAATATTTTTCTTTCTTTGATTTCTTTCTATGTATTTCTTGTGTAGAATGTTAGTGTGAAACCCATCACATGGTGATGATATGGTTTTTATCTTGGACTTCATCTCATACCATTTGGTGTTTTTATTTTTTATTTATTTATTTTTCTTTCTTTCTTCTTGAATTGGTTTCTCTATCTTTATATTCCACTCCCAAGTTACTACATTTAGATCTTGATGTCTAGTCTTGTCTTCCACAATGATCACATCATATCTTTCCCAAACAATCTATAGCCTGTACTTTCCTCATTTGGGTTTGGACTGCAAAGGAAGAGAAAATGTAACTAGAGACTAATTCCAATTTTGCAAAAACACACCCATCATTCAACAATGCCACACTGGCTCGATTACAGTTCTATTACGAATATGGAAATTGAATATAGAATCCGATGCAGAATACAAATGAATAGACAAAAATTTATAGGATTTATTAATGAAATATATTTTTGAAAAATTTTATCCGTTCATTTATATTTTAATTCTGTAATCGATTTTTTGTATTTCCAGATTAATTTTTCTGAATATCACTTGATGAAAATCTTATATATATACATATACTTGGTTGCAGAAGCAATTGGCAAGCATAGTAGAGAAGGCATCAATTGAGGATGTAATGAAGGTCTTGATAGCTTCAAGAAGGCAAGAAATGCTCCAACTTTGGACTACTTGTTCCCATTTAGTAGCAAAGTCTGGCCTCCCACCAGAAGTCCTAGCCAGGCACCTCCCCATCGATGTCGTTGCCAAAATTGATGAGCTCCGCCTCAAATCATCGCTTTCCCGCCGATCCCTCCTCCCCCACCACCAACACCACCACCACCACGATCTTAGCGCCGTATCTGAGTTTGAAGACCAGAAAATTCATCGAATGAGACGAGCCCTAGACTCGTCTGATGTCGAGCTTGTCAAGCTCATGGTAATGGGTGAAGGGCTAAATCTCGACGAAGCACTAGCCCTACATTATGCAGTTGAGAATTGCAGCCGAGAAGTAGTGAAAGCCTTGTTGGAGCTCGGTGCAGCCGATGTTAACTACCCCGCTGGGCCTGCAGGGAAAAGCCCGCTTCACGTGGCGTCAGAAATGGTGTCGCCGGACCTGGTGGCGGTCCTTTTGGACCACCACGCTGATCCAAATGTTAGGACGGTCGATGGGATCACCCCACTCGATATGCTTCGAACCCTAACTTCTGATTTTCTATTGAAAGGGGCTATACCAGGGCTAACCCATATCGAACCCAATAAGCTTAGGCTATGTTTGGAGCTGGTTCAATCGGCAGCATTGGTGATTTCAAGGGAGGAAGGTAGTGGTGGGAGTGGTGGTGCTTCTTCAACACCCATTTATGCAATGGCGATGAGCGAAGATCATAATAATAGTGGGAATAGCGGTGGCAACAACATGAATAACCTAAACCTAGATTCAAGGTTGGTTTATTTGAATTCGGGTGCAGCTCAAATGGGGTGTAAGACGGATGAAAGAGATGATACCAGTCCAAATACACAGAGGGAAGCCACGGATCGACATGATCGCTCAATGTACCACCACCACCCTCATCAATATTAATCATGATTTTAAATAACAGGATTGAAATATATATCAGTATCTGTGATAAAGCCATATGCCGACAAATATTAGTATCGAAAATTCAAAATACTGATACATATCAACTGATATTTAAATCTTGGTATTAACCTCACTGATCCCTATCTCTCTCTCCCTTTGATGTGATATATCCATGTGAAACCAGATTGAAATTAATGGAGATTACTAATTTACTATTGGATTATATTATCTTCCAAATCTTATCTTTCCTTCACTTTTGTTTTGTATTTTGTTTTTTTTTTTTTTAATTTTTTTTTTTTATTATTTCTATTTCTCTCTCTTTCCTCTCTGGTGGGTGTTTCTTAGTTTTGTAGGGGTCTGCTTCCAATGATCAATCATATGTAGAACCGTGCAAGAAGCATTGAGATGGGATTTTTCTCATGGAATGAGACAAGCAGAATCTAATTCAGGTCAATCTTTTCAACCCTGGCCTCTCAAACTACATTTGTATTATTGGTATAATTAATGGGCACCAAATTATTATTTTTTTTCAATTTTTTTTAAAATTTATTTTGTTTTTATTGTCCTGGTCCAAACTCAAAAGTATTATATTGTAAAATTCTCACATATTTAACTGTTATGGGTATTTTATCAAAATAATAATAATAATTAAAAACACAGGATTCAGGACCTATTATATTTTTGTTCTCCTACCCACCCACGCACCTATCATGAGATAAACCAAACCAAACCAAACCAAACGAAGCCTTAAGTCCCATCAAATGGGGTCGGCTACATGAATCCTTTTTCTCCACGTGGCCCTATCAAAAGCCATTTCATTAGTCAAATTACGCACCTATCATGAGATATATAATTATAATTAATAAATATAAAAAAAAATATTAGTGTGAATAGAAATAAAATCTATGCAAACATATATACACAATAGAGATTACATGCATGTATATGAACACAAATGAAGAATGCATGCTTTGGATTTTTGTGGTGGTGGTGGGGTTAATTAGTCTCTTTTGGGGGTTTGTTTGGACATGGGTGTTATTCTAATGAGTGAAATGAGGTGTCCCACCACTTTTTTTTTTTTTTTTTCCTTTTTCTTTTGGTTATTTATCATTTTCATGCTTTCATTTCATGGGCATCCGGTGAAACTTGATTGGCTTTAATTTAGTTGGGTCTTCTATTATTTTAATGGACATCATTAGAGAATGGACAAATTGATTGGTTGTTTTGCATTGCATGAAAGGCACAAGCAACATTGAGTGTGACTACATGACAGCTTAATTAATATATTGGTATTATTATCTAATTCAAGATTTACTCTATGTAAATCCTCTTTTTTTTTATTTTTTATTTTTTTCCCACCTCCCAACCTTATTTTTACTCTATCTCTCTCTCTCTCTCTCTATATATATATATGTATTTTATCAACATTTTAAGCAGTTAGATATATTAAACCCTAATGTGTGACTCTTCTTTTACTTAGGCCTCGTTTGACAAGTGCTGATTTTAGCAAAAAAGTCAAAAAGTTATTAAAAAAATCAAAAAACTAACAAGCCTATACCAGAAGTCAAAGATTTCATTTTCTATTTACTTTTTACACATTTTTTCGTAAAAAATCAAAAAATTATCCCAAACGTAATAGTTTTTTTTTACATTATATTTTACTCAAAATGTCAAAAAGTTATTAAGAAAGCATGTACCCAAACGAGGCCTTATTCTTCCGTTCTTGTAATTGTGGTTTTCCTGCATAAAGGCATTTCTTGTGATCTACCCTTTCCTACTAATATTTTGTTGGAAAATTTTCATGCATGCTTGTTTAAGTGGTAATTACATTTAGACTCTCTGAACGGTTAGTGTATATCTCTAAGTCCCCATATATAAACTCATAAATGCCACAAATCTAAAGTCGTGAAAGAGGTGTTTTTTTGTACAGTTGAGGAGTTCAAAAAAATATACTGGTTCATAAATGAGAGAGTAAAATGATATTAGATAATAGTTGAGAGGTCTTGGCGTAACTAACCCACTAATTAATCAATGCAATAAATTGCATGCATTTTTTCAATTCCCATATCAATCTTCTCTAGTTTCCAAAAGATAGAAATGTAGAACGAATAAGTTTCAAAGTTTCATATGGAACACATAATTTAGTCAATTTTTTAATTATTATCTTGTAGTCTATCATAGTCTACTAACCAAATTACCACTTGTAGTTTACCACATATTTAATTGTTATTCCTCTCTAAATAATATATATGGAGAAAGGTTAATAATCGACTTCAAATTCTTCGTTAATGACTATTTTTCACTCTTGAGAAGAGTGAAAGGGGCAAATGAAAATCAATTAATGCTAAGGCTTGAATTTATTTTCCAATTATATTGGGAATTAAACTTTTATGAATGTCACATTCTCAAAGTCAAGATACTTAAAGTATAATATTCTAATGCTAATCAGAATCTAATCCCAGTTCCTAGTCTTATAGTTTATAATTGATTGCCATATGCTAACAGCCGAATAAAGAGAATTGTGGCAGTGGTTGAGACATGGTTTGTAAAGAGGTTAAGAATGGTTGACTAGGGGAAGAAGAAAATAATCAAAAGATGGTTGAATAGGTTGTTTCTTGCTTTGGAGGAATATGGAGTTGAATTGAGACAAATTATTATTTTGGTTTCGCTTGCTTCTCAGATTATTATTTCTATTTTGCTTCCCGTGCCTTGAAATTAGGCTAGTCTTGAAACAAACCCCTTAAGAAGATTTTGGAAAGTTAATGCCTTTGCTGAATAATTAACGGTTTAACATATTAATCATTCTGCTGTTAGACTTAAATGCTTTCTTTGTGTAGTCTAACATCTATCAAATATATGAATATGTAACCCTGAAAGAGATATTCACAGAAGAAACCCACTTGGGAGGTTCATTTCACTCCTTTCTTGAATAGATTTTCTTTTTGTTGTTGTTTGAGGTCGTTTATTTGTTGCTTTGATTTTATTTGGATGAGTTTTCACCAACCCGTTTTGTTTTGGCTTTGGTGTGCATGTGATTATTAGTTGTGTGCCAACCTTGTTGGAATGCACCACTCAAGTCATGATGCAGTCTCCGTCTAGCCTCTTGTGTTCTAATCGGTTGTGTAATGGTAGACCAATTTTGAGGAACTGAATGAACACGAGGAAATTTGATTATACAATTTTGCGCAGTATCACATTCACTCCTCATTGCTATTTTTGTTTCTGAAAATTCATCTTATTCTTAATTTTCATTTTGCAGAACCAGTAGTGTTAAATCATAGATTCATATTGCTTTCTTTTAAAAGATCAATCATTAGAGTGACATCTATAAGAATAAGGCTTCCACCTTTGATGCAAATTTTGTGTTGCTCACTTATGGTTCAGTTTAATTTGTTGAATTTTACAACATTATTGTAGATAGATTGTAACATATGCACAAATAGCAAATACAAATTTTGGTAGAACTCAATCAAGCCATGGGATGGCTATATATGAGTCTGAGATACACTTTTATATACATGATAAAGATAGCAACTACTACTAGATGGTCTAGGGTTTTTGTATATACATGTATATATACATTGATAGACGCGACTTTGAGATCTTTCTAGTACTAAGATAGAAAAGAAGACTTGGAGAATAAGATAAAGGATTAGGGTCTAGGGTTTTTGTATTGCCTTAAACATGCCAACTTTATATAACTTGGCCTTCTTGTGTTAGCAAATGGTCTTCAGTAGTCCAAGATTTCTTTTGCTTGTCATGCTCACAATCATCCTTATCCATCATGTTAGTTATAATTGTTGTACATATACGCCTCGTGATATTAAGAGTGATTTTTCCTCATACCTAACCTCAAGATCAGTTTGATAACAAACCCTTCTCGGGGACCTTTCAACTGTCACTAGGTCCACTGAATTTCAACCCGAATGACCCTTTCAACTCTCACTAGGCTTAAGGTCACGAGTCACATCCATCACAACTCAAAAATGAGAACCCTTGATGGGTATTGTTACATCACACTTGATATCAATGTTTTAATACTATTATTTAAAATTATGATAAGATCAGATATTTAATCAATCAATGCCTTGGCTTTGATTGTTCATTTTAAAGCAGACATTGGAGCCACTTGCACATCAACCTCAGGTGAATTTTTTCTTCTTTTTTTTTCCGTCACCATCCATACACTTTTTAAGATAAAGGTGAGAAAGATTAGCAGAATAATATCTTTTGTAAAGTTTGTTGCAGTTATGGGGCACACAACTGATACAAATGCAATAGGCTTTCCTAGTAGTCATTCTTCTTAAAATGCTCTCTTGAATTGAAGTATGTATTAGGGCTTACATGACAGGTGGCCAGCATGTTTGAAGTGATTGAACATTGACAATTTATTCTAATAATTAGGGTAAATTTTGCTTTTCCTACTAGAAGCGCAATTTTTTTAAAATAAAGAGAGTAATGCACTCAATGTAATGAATTACACCCTCTAGCATCTTCTTAAAACATTGAATTTTAAAATTTTGTTTGGATTATAAATTTGAATAAATATTTAAAAAGTAAAAAAAAAAATGAGAAAAATAGGTGGAAAAAAATTAATTTCTTATATTTTTCTTATCTTTTATCTGCCTTTTTAAAATTTCTACTCAAATTAATAATTCAAACATAGTTTAAAATTAGCTTAAAAAGTCAAATATCACATCAATTTTTTTCACTCAACAAAAATAACCTTTTCCCAATTTTATTTTATTTTATTTTATTTTTTTTCATTTTCTAACATGCAAAAAAAAGTTCTATATATATATATATGAAAAAGCAAATCCCAAACGCCCTTTCTGAGTTTATCCATTTAGGTTCTAATTCAAAAGATGCCTCCACAGTGAAAATGTCTTACCCCATCTTAAGACATAGGTTAACATCCATCCTCTCACTCATTGAGTTTGTCCCTTCGAGGTCTAACCCAAAAGGAGCCTCCATAATATAGGTAACATTTGCCCTCTCATAATTTTTGAACATCGTTCGCAACTGATGTGGGATGCCAATTTTATTCTCTACACATTCCCTCACACTAGTTGTAGAGCTCACTTCTAAAACATACTTGTGCGTTCATACATATTTTTGAGTCTGATTCTATGTTAAATTTTGATGGAAAAATTATAAAATATATGGAGCAGTAGAAAAAAAAATTGTACTATAAATGGAATTTTTTTTTGTGTGCAACTCTGACACACAATAAAAGTTGCACCAAACACAAGAATGTATTTGCACTATATACTGGAGAGTTGCGCCATCATAAAAATGTAATTTCTTTTCCCACTGCTCCATTGAAATTCAAATTTGCCAATTTTTATATTATTACATTTGGAGTGGAAAGCCGACTGTAATTAACAACACATTATTTTGGATGATTCTATTTAAATTTGCACCCAAATAATACTTTAGTACGTCTAATTAAAATATTAAAATTTTAGTTTCTATTATACCCTATTATAAATTTACTAATAAGGACAATACATATTAAACTCTAAAATAAAATATTATTTTTCCTCATGGTATATCCGAATCACTTTGTTGGCTTATTTTTCCTACGAAGGAAAATATCATAAATGCGAGCATGCCAGCAAGGATTGAAAAATCCTTACAGATTAAATTCAAGCCAATTACCAAGCGATTGTGTTGACGGTTCTTTTGCCTCAACGAAGAGGACTTCAAATTTGCCAAGTGTAGAGAAAAGAAAAAGTAAAAGAAGAAAGAGGGACGGAGAAAGACGATTGAGTGAACAATCAAAGTAATAATTACTTACCTCTACTCCTATGCTTCGAAAAGGAAGTGCATAAAATGCATCGAAATGAAAGTGCTGGAAATAAATGCTTCGAAATATAAATCTATGTTAAACTACTCCTAAGATAAGGAAAATGACAAGAAATATTGAAATCAATTGTCTTTGATTTAAGTTCTGGATCATTTACAATGTAGCCATTAATGGCTATTTATAGAAGAAAAAATACAGCAATAACTACTTAGTAACTACCCATTTCTTCCATCTTCATTCTTGTCTTGCCATGTGTCCTTCCACTCATCCACTTTGTCCTCCCACTCATCCACTTTGTCCTTCATACTCTCCATTATCTCTATAACTTCTTTTAACTTCCAAATGAATAAGAGGATGCCACGTGTCCTGCAATTATATAAATAATAAATAATAATAAAAATTGCAGATTTATGGTGTTAACATTCTTATATCTATTCTTTACGTTGAGATTATTTTTTTTTTTCATCTTCTTCCTCACTCCAAAACTCCAATCCATCCCACCAAAATCGACTTTTATCCCCCTTTAAAGACGAATCATCCTAGAAAGCAAAAACTTTGAGACAATACTTAAAAAAATCAGATTTGTTCATCCAAATAAATAAATTTTGAATAGTATATAAACTGCTTAAAGTGAACCAGAAACCACAAAGTTGTTATTAAGAGTAAGATATTAAAATAATTATTGCCGAATCAACAATTAGGGTTGCAATTTGACCTACTCCAAAACACCCACCATTACAAAGAGGTTGCAGAAATTGTCCCATTTAAAATGGATTAGTTGGGTTCAGTTTGGCTCTTCCAGACTCAATAACTGATATTTTGGGAAGTTGGTAAAAAGTTAAATTTTTAGATTTTTTGTGATTTTTTTTGTGTAAAAAAACAAAAAAAATCAAAAAATTGACTTTTTTAGAAAACGTCCCTAAAGTCATTATATATATGCCTTCCATGAAAGACTTGATGACATCCATAACATTAAACCTTCATTTAATATTTTTTTTTTATCACTGAAAAATTATGATTTTATTGAATAGTAATTAGTGAAAAAATAAGATATATTAAGAGTAAATTATAATTCTAAATAATTTATTAGAGAGAAATTGAACTGAATGATTTTTTAGATGTAAATAGAATCCCCCCATTTTTTTTGTATCTCAGCCCATAGCCCACTTTGGGAAAGAATGGGCCTGATAATTTTAGCGGCTCAATTTCTTGATGGGCCTCACCCAAAACAAAGTTAGTCTACTTGGCTGGAAAGTGTCCATAGTTCAGGTCTGTGACTTGTCGATGGGCTAACCCAGTACTAAAAGGTGATCCACACCATTTAGTGAGGTGGGCCCCATAATTAAAAGTTTGGTTAAATTTTCAAATTCTATAAAAAAATAAAAATAAAAAACTAAAAAAAAAATTAAAAATTAAAAATTCTTATCATTTTCATGTGATTCTTTTTTCTTTTTGGGGGAAAGGATAATTTTAAAATATTTTTTTGATTTTTGTTATCATCAAATTTGTTTTTATTTTTTGAGAGAAAAAAGAAAACAAATTATGAAAATTCAACTAACAAGAATGTTCTTAGTCACAAATGTAAGCCGTATCATTAACTAATTCCAATTAATTAATTTTAGTCCTTAATGAACCACTAATCTTGGACTCTCTTTTTAAGTAATAATTCTCATTTTTTATTCTTTTTTGGGCCACTCTAAAAATTTATGTTCCATAATTACATAGGGGAATTATATATATTTGAGAAATAGTTGAAATAAAACTATTGACACTCCTATAATTTTGAAAAAAAAAAATGTTGGTATTTATTGACATTGACGGGATTAAAGTAAATATTCTTCGAATAAAGTAGAAGTCAATTTATCCAGCTTTTTAATTATATATTCCCTTATCTTTTATGCTATTTTAGATCCATTTATTTTATCTTCTTCTTGAAGAAAAGAATCCATTTCAAAAGCAATGTGCAAAGCTAGAAGATTGCTACCATCTTTTTATGATCTCTTTTTTTTCTTTTATTAAATTAGTGGCAAAGTTTTTGTTCTATCAAATCTTATGAGGTGGCAAAGGCAAACTCTCTGCTGGCCATTCAATCTCATATGCTTCTTTATTTTCTTGAGTAATTAATCTGGGGACGACAATTTTAATCCGATTAATGCCCCGTATGGTAATAGGTATTAGTCAAAAAATTATTAAAAAAAGTTAAAAAATTAAAGATTTCTTCTCATACTCTATTTTTTGCACACCGTTGTACAAGCACGGAAACAAATTGAGCTCTTTTTGTTTGTCATTAGTGCCAACGTGTTACAATCTTAAAAATCCGAATTTAATGAGTAATCCTTGATATGAGTTTTGTAATTTACACCCTTTACAGAGAATCCTGATCCCTTTTTTGGATCCTGAAAAGCAAATTTTAGCGATTAAAACGGTGCCGACCAATCAAAAAGTGAAAGCAGCCTTTCCACTTCATATCATGTAGGCATGCAAGTGAAATGTAAGACATATAATGGAATGTCAATATATATAGATGACATAAGGATCTACATATTACAGTACTTTCAAGTATACTTTGGCATATACATACCAAGGAATTCAATAGTTTGCATTGTTCTGCTTCAAAATGCCCCAGACAGAGAAACAAGAGAACCAACCCCCTCCAGGTCTCTCTCTCTCTCTCATGCATAGACAAACACAAACACATACTTGGCTATTCTCTTTCATCAGAGACATGTGAACTGACTTTTCTCAATTTTTTTGATTTTTAAGGATACCCAACTGGAAATTCTCCAACCGGGAAGATGAGCCGGCCGTACACGAGGAAGAAAGGAGAGAAGGGCTTCATTGAGGGTTGGTAAGTCTTCTTTTTCTTGCTCTTCTTCTGATCTTCATAATCAAAAGTTCCGCATATGTTCAAAGGCTCTATAGAATCAAGCTGAAGGTATAGCAGTTCTAACTATAAACATGTAAACTTTGATCTCAAGTAATCAAAATATTATGCTTTCACCACTTCAAAATTTTTTAAAGGAAATTTAACTTTTTTATATTTTATCACTACTCACATGCTAAACAAATGCATATATAATTTTTGCCATTCGAGTTGGTGAGTATGTTCACACGTTACTGATGAAGGTTCGAATTTTCTCCTGTTTGTTTGGTTCACTTATTTAAATTTTGTTTTCCTTCTCAAAATAACCACAAATTACCAATTCCCTTCACCCTAACTACTAACCAATTTTATTTTATTTTATTTTTTCCATTGTTCTAAGTTTTAATTTAATATAATTCATTGTGCAGCCTCTTTGCTCTGTGTTGCTGTTGGCTCTGTGAATCTTGCTTCTGAAACATGGATCTGCATCAGGGACCATTCTATGTTTGATCTTCATTTATTATTATATTCTGACATCATGTAATTGGCTGTAAAATTAATCTTATGTGTGAGAGATCCACTAGTTATGAGTTAATAAAGTTGTTTTAGTTTGCCTAAATAGCTGATCTCTGTAGCTCAAAACTAAACTGTTGCGATAATATGATGATAAAAAGATTTAGAACCACCCACAAATAGGGGTGATAAAGGAACCAAATACCTATAACTTCACTTGTATTTCGCTTGGTAAAAATTCATTTTTCGATTTATTAAGTAAACAAATCAAACTTGAACACATATTAGAGCTTATAAAATTTCAAACCAAACTTGATCAATTAATTATTCATTCTGTTCGATTTGATAAACTTAAAACCATATAAAAATACCAAAGTATTCGAACTCGAATTGAGAAATCTCATTTGAGATTAGCTCGAAAGTTTAACGAATCAAGTTTGATCAAATTTCAAAACTAGTTAAAGTTTTCAAACTAAACTTTAACAATTTTGGCTAATTTTTACCCCTAACCACAAGAAGATAGATTTATATTTACACTCCAATTTGTTTTGACAAATATATATATACATATATATATATTCTTATAAAAAATGATTTTTTTTTTCTTTTAGAAATTATTTTTGTAGAAAACTCATTTCAATATTTGTTAATATTTGATTGCAAGCTTGAAACTAATATAAATGTTACCAATATGTAGATGCAAATCATATTTGATAATATTTGATTGCAAGATTTGTTAATATTTGATTGCAAGCTTGAAACTAATATAAATGTTACCAATATGTAGATGCAAATCAGCAGACGGGTCTACAAACTATATCAGAGTACAAAATTTGTATCTTTTTCTTAATTGAAAATATATAAAATTGGAAAACAAATACAACATAAATGGGCACATCACAGCCCAGGCCAACACAACAAGGATAGAGACCATCTAAAGCTTAAAACTAACACAAAAAGGGAACCATCCTGAACAGATAGAACAACCGGCGTAAGCAACATAGCACTCAAAATTATCTCACATAAAGATTCAAAGTTTCCACATGCCGCTCACAACACTAGCAATACATCACACTAAGACATGCACTCTCTGGATATCCACCTCTCTTCATACCTCCCAAATGAGTAGGCTGTGGAAGGAATCCCACTTAAGTGGAGAGGATCCGGTTCAATTCCATAATCAGTCAGTGGTCTATTCTCGAGAATATCATCATGATTCTGCACAAACTCTGGGATCTCAACCTCTCCTTTCTTTGTATCTTCCCAAAGGTACTGCAGGCGGTTAACATACTTGATTTTCCAATATAAGCTGTAAATAAAAACAAAGAACTGTGAGGACCATCACACCTTGATGGCAAGAACTTAGTTTATGCTAATAACAAAAGGAAAATTTTGCATTGAATATGAGTGGGGGTAGTAGGGGACAGCAGACGGGGAGGTAGGGTTTTGAGAGGGGGGAGGAGGGGTAATACAAAATAGGTAAGTAATTGCCAAGGTTTTTGCATTTGAGAGAAGCAACATTCAAGATGAATGGGATTAAAATAACTATAGGCAATGATGTATGTCATGACTTAGTCAAGGAAGAATTATATACAATCAGCTAAAATGATTTCAAATGGTCCATTGGGGCACATATACCCTCTGCTGTGACTTCTTTTATAATTTCCTCAAGATGCCACAAATTCCTTGGGGACCGTTTATTCTTTTTATAAAATGCCAAGCAGCATCTGACCAATCAAGAGAAGGGGGCAGTGTCCATTTAGCAATGCAATAACAGCAAAAGAAAGAATCTACATGGGTATGCATTGCTTTATATTGTGTTTGGATCTTGGATTTGTGGAATGATTTGGGAAGGGAAGCGTGAAAAAAGAAAAAGAAAAAAGCTTCTACTTCATTCACTTTTCCTTCTCTTTTCTTTCCTTCGACAGATCTTTCAACTAATCTAAGATCCAAACACGGCCTTGAGGAATGTTTTAACATTTTAAGGATAACCACATGAAAGTAAGCCCATTTTAGGGCCATCAGAATCTCATACAGGATCTTTGCAACCTATGTTTTTTAGAAGACAACTTCAATAATGATGCCCAAGAACTTGCAGACTAGATTTTTCAGTCGTCTTCATATAAGTGGCACTCAATACAAGCATTATTCCTTACCCATCCCAACAAATTATTAATATACCATTCAAGCATAGTTCAGGGATTTTTTGAAAGTTCAAATAGATGTCTACGTTCTGTAAGTAGCATAAAACACGTATTAAGGACTTCTAATTATTTGCTCCTAGAAGATATCAGAACTGAGTTGTTTGTTTATTTATTAATTATTTCCTGGGACAAGTAAGATATCAAGAAAAAAAACTCACCCTCCACTTAAAAAGAAACGACCAAGTGTGGCAAAGACCAGTCTCGAGCGGAGTCCTGGATGAATGAAGTACACAACTTGTAGCCTATCCTTACAAGCAGGGGGAAGTTCTTCATAGATCCACCTCAAGATCGTTATGCCAGGATTGTTGTCCTCCTTCTGCACTGTACTGTGCATGTAAATGATGCAGAACGGTCCTTCTGGCATCTCCGTATATATTTTGTGAAAAACATACTTTTTCAGCCGTTCCCCACTTATAACAGGAGCTGGATATCATAGATCAAACAAGCACATCACAAGGCATCAATTAATGCTAAGGAAATCATTGTAAAGTGAAATAATAATAAATAAGGAACCCATAAGAGGAAATAAAAACTAGATAAGCTCGAAGAGTATAATAAATTTTGAAAAACTCATTGGTACATCTAAAATAATGGCTTAGGTGAATGACTCTTGAGCCCAATTCACTGTCATGCAAAATAATCTTTGGTCTCTCCTACAAACAAGTGCAACATTCAACATAAAATATGGGCACTAATCTATCAATCAATCCATCCAAGCAGAGTTCAAAATTTTCAAGATTACCCAACCGATGTAATTTTAAATATCTTCAAACCACCAATAAGTACACCCCCCCTTCCATTCAATTGTTGTAGATAGTTACAAAAGGAAAAATTCACAAGCTACAAAATCAGTCCATGAAAACTTAATTAGCAACTAGGGAGGGGAAATGGGGAAGAAATTGTTAAAGAAATGACTTTTTTCTTTTTCTTTTTCCTTTTTTTTTTTTTTGGGGGGGGGTTTAGGGGGGGGGGGGGGGGATCAATCACTAGATTATTATTTACAAATATGAAAAAACTAAATCAAACTAAGAAATCAACTAGTAGGAACGTCCAACAACACATATCCGCAAACCCAACACCGACAACAATTACATAAATCAAAGAAATAGTCCCATAATCAGAAAGACAAAAAACTAATTAACTTGGAGAATGTCAAGGAATCACCAACTAAGCTGTCCCAGTTGGTTAGTAATAGAGATTTTTATTTTGGCCAAATAATCAAAAAGATTCAATAAGCCCAAAATTTGAGATGAACATAGATGAAAACTAAAAATGTCCACAAAGAAAACCTAGACTACATACACATATACTTGTATCTATTTGATAAAATTCCAAAAAACCTCCTACCATGAAAAACCCAAAGCCCAAATTTTGAGATGAACATAGATAAAAAAAACTAAAAATGCCTACAAAGAAAACATAGACTAAATACACAGATCCTTGCATCTATTTGACAAAACTCCCAAAAGCCTCGTACCATGAAAAACCCAAAGTCCAAATTTTGAGATGAACATAGATGAAAGCTAAAAATGTCCACAAAGAAAACACAGACTACATACACATATACTTGCATCTAAACCAAACCAAACCAAACCAAGCCAAGCCTTAAGTCCCATCAAATGGGGTCGACTACATGAATCCTTCTTCTCTACGCGGCCCTATCAAAGGCCATTTTGCTAGTCAAATTAAATAGATTCATATCTCTATTTACAATGCTAACCAACGTTAATTTAGGCCTAACCCGTCCCCTAACACTTCCATCTACCGTTACAGTATTGCATATCTTCACTACTGCCTCTGTTGGCCTTTGTTGAATATGACCAAACCATCTCAATCGATTTTCTCTCAACTTATCTTCTATCGGTGCTACTCCTACCCATTTCCGAATACACTCATTTCTAATTCTGTCTTGTCTAGTCTTGCCACACATCTACCTTAGCATTTTCATCTCAGCTACACTCATCTTATCTACATGCTGTTTCTTGGTTGCCCAACACTCCGTCTCATACAACATCGCTGGTTTAATAGCCGTTCTATAGAACTTATCTTTAAGTCTAGTGGGTATTCGTTTATCGCACAGTACCCCGACGCACTTCTCCACTTACACCATCCCGCCTTAATCCTATGAGCCACATCCGCATCAATCTCCCCCACTGTTGTAATAATCGACCCTAAATAACGAAAATGTTCACTCTTAGGCAGTTCTTGATTTTCAATGTTCACTTCTCCTCTGCTTTCACTGTTACTGTCAAGGTTGTTAAAATCGGGATCCTAAGTAGAATCGGTGAGAGGGTCTGGTGGATCGGATCGTAAGATCGGATCGTAAGATCGGATCGAGGATCGTAAGATCCTACTTTCTATTAAAAAAAAAGATAAAAATAAAAATTAAAATGATACATATTAAAAATAAGGTGAAAAATCATAAAATCTACGATCCTACTTGTGATCCTACCTATGATCCTATACGATCCCATACGATCCTACACGATCCCATACGATCCTACACGATCCCATGCGATCCTACTTGCGATCCTGTTATAACATCGATCCTACAACAATCTGGATCATTTTAACAACCATGGTTACTGTTACTAAATTTATACTCCATGTACTCTGTTTTAATTCTGCTTATCCGAAATCCTTTAGATTCAAGAGCTTTTCTCCAAATTTTCAACTTTGTATTAACTCATTCTCTAGTCTCATCCATTAGCATTATATCGTCTGCAAAAAGCATACACCATGGCACGTCATCCTGGATATTTCTCGTCAACTCATCCATAACTAAAACAAAAAAATAAGGACTTAAGGTAGATCCTTGGTGTAACCCTACAATGATGAGAAATTCATTTGTCTCTCCAGCAGGTGATCTAATAATGGTCACCTCCCCTTCATACATGTCCCTAATCACATCAATGTAACCTTTTGTAACCCCTTTCTTCGCTAACACCCATCATATTATATCCTCGGGCACTCTATCATACGTTTTCTCAAGGTCGATAAATGTCATATGAATGTCTCTTTTCTTTTTACTATATTTTTTTATTACTCTCCTCAAGAGATAGATCGCTTCCATTGTTGATCTGCCTAGCATAAACCCAAATTGATTCTCTGACGCCTCTGTTATATCTCGTAATCAGCGTTCTATCACCCTCTTCCACACTTTCATTATATAACACATTAACTTGATTCCTCTATAGTTGTTGCATTTCTGGACATCTCTTTTATTCTTATAGATTGGCACTAAAATACTCTTCCTCCACTCATCTGGCATATTCCTAGTCAATAAAATTTTGCTAAACAACTTAATTAACCAAGCAACCCCTTTTTTATAAAAACACTTCCAACCTTCAATAGGGATATCTCTGATCCTAAAGCCTTATTTGATTTTATCTTCTTAAGTGCAAACTCCACTTCAAAGTTCTTAATCCTGTAATAGAACCTATAGTCTTGATTTATCGTATTACTGGCTATTTCTTCCCCTATTGTCGTACCTCTACGTTCCACATTTAATAGTTTCTCAAAATAATTCTTCCATCTTTCTTTAATCTCTTCATCCCTCACTAATACCTTAGAATCCTTACTCTTGATGCATTTAACTTGATTAAAATCTCTTATTTTCCTCTCCCGTATCGTAGCAAGTTTGTATACCTTCTTCTCTCCCTCCTTACTATCTAGTCTAGTGTATAGGTCATCATAAGCTTTTAGCTTAGCCTCTCTCCCTACTTTCTTGACCTCCTTATTAGCCAATCTATAGCTCTTAAAAAAATTTTTCAGTTCTATCCTTTTACCACTTTTTAAAGCACTCTTTCTTTGACAAAATTCCAAAAACCCTCGTACCATGAAAAACCTGAAGTCCAAATTTTGAGATGAAAATAGATGAAAACTAAAAATATCACAAAGAAAACATCACATATACTTGCATCTATTTGATAAAAATCCAAAAACCTCATACCATGAAAAACCCAAAGCCCAAATTTTGAGATGAACATAGATGAAAACTAAAAATGTCAACAAAGAAAACACCGGAATACATACACAAATACTTGTATCTATTTGATAAAATTCCAAAAACCCTCATACCATAACAACCTTAAAGCTCAAGTATTGAGATGAACACAGCTAAATATGAATAACTCGATCAGCAAATATGTGTGTGTCATACCAGGGAAGTATTTTCCGACGATGCGGAAGATGCGATTGCCGGACTTGTCGGAGCCACGTTCGAGGCGAAAGAAATGCAAGGCGTCGAGATCGGAGAAGTCATCGTCGGAGGAGAGGAAATCGGAGGGACAGTCGTGCCAGTTTTCTTGAGGAGGAGCTTCTCTTTGTCCATCAATGGAGGACAAGAAGGGTCGAGCGTCTATGCCTAGATCTGAAGCCAATACCAGCACTGAAAAATCGTCCGATGTAGAACCCCCCATCCTCTCTCTCTCTGTGCCCTCAATTGTTCTGTACCTAACCACAACCCTCCATAAGGATAGATTATTCCTATTCCAAATTCCACTTGTGGCATAATCTGATTTTGCCTCCGTTTGGGAAGTGGGTTGACTTTTTAGTTTTTTGATTTTTTTTATCTATTTTAGTTGGGTTAAAAAGTTTGATTTAAGAAGAATTTTTTGATTTTTTTGATTTTTTTGTGAGAGAAGAATGTAATGATTATAAATTGGATGTGATATTTTGTTTTTTACGATTAAAATAGCCTATTTTATCTTTTGTGATTAAAATAGTCAAAAAAATCCCGTCTAAGTCTTGCCAAACGGAGCCACAAATTAATCAAATTATTATTTTATTTATGTTAAATAATTATGTGAGTCTACACAAATGGGTAAATATCATCTATACTATATATTAAGTAAAATGGGGTTTTTAACCTCAAGGCTTGTGGAAGTTCTAATCTCCTAATCCTAATTTTTAAAATTTTTGATTTAAAAAAAAAAACTCAGCATTTATTGACTTCTCTCAACCCAACCTCAGCATTTATTGACTTCTCCCAACCTACAATCCCTTTTGACTTCTCTCATAATTATAGCAACACCCTTTTCAATTTCTCCCATACACTATGGTTACACAAAAAAAAAAGAAAAGAATTTAGCTATAGATCTCAAAAAGATATAACATCTAAATTTGAATTAGGATTTAATAATATAATTATGTATTTTTTATTATGTATATCTATCAAAATTTTAAATCACTTAATGACACAAATTAATCAATTTTCCAAAATTATTGATTTTGAATTTACATAATAGATTAAAAAAACTATTGACTGATTTATTTATTTAATAACAAAAATATTTCATAATCTCTCTCTCCTAATCTCTCTCACAAATTTTCAAAAAAAAATATTCAAACTTGCATTCCTTTTCTCTTCCCCAAAAAATCAGATAATATTTTTTATTAAAGTTGTAGATATCTACCTATATTTTATATATTATGTTATAACATAACAAAAAAAAAAAACTAAAAAACTAAAAAAAAAATCTTTAAAGATACCCACATATCTATCACATATCTTTAAATATTAAAATCTTTATAGATATCTACCTATATTTTATATATTATATTAGATAAACTTTAAATAAATAAAACTCACATATCTATCACATATCTTAACTCACATCATAATTTACCTAAATAATAATAATTAAAAACAAATGGAAACCATAAAAAAAAAAAAAAGATACCCACAACTCCATCATAAATAAATTGAGAAAAAAATACCCAAATAGAAACCACATAAAAATAAAAATAAAAAGATATATCTATCTATCTATCCATATCTATCTATACTATATATTAAGCAAAATGAAGTTTTTAACCCCCAAGGCCTGTGGGAGCTCCAATATGCCAATCCTAATTTTCTAATTTTTTGTTTTTTTAAAAAAAAATTATCCTCAGCATTTATTAACTTCTCTTAACCCATAAGACTTTTTGACTTCTCTCATAATTACTGCAGTACCTTTTCCAAAACAAATAATTTGTATATGAAAAAAAATTAAAACAAATATAAATATCTATATCTATATCTATCTATTTATTTAGATCTATCTCTAACCCACAAGTTTTGTGGGAGTTCCAATATCTAAATCTTAATTTCTTAATTTTTTTGATTGTTTTTTAAAAAAAAAAAACTTAGCACTTATTAAATTCTTTCAAATCTTTTTAACATCTCCAATACACACACTATTTTTAACTTTTCACATACCTATTGCAAACAGTGAGCCTTCTTTTTGTTTTCTCATTCTTGATTTCTCACTTCTATACTTTCAACTTTAGTGACCACGTATGCAAACAGTAAGTCTTTTTTTTTTTTGTTTTCTCCTACTTGACTTTTCTTTTTGTTTATTGTTTTAATATTGTAGTTAGATAGCGCATAAAAATATTTGTGATTTGTCTAGCGAATAAAAAATTATAACTTGATTTTTTAATATAATTGAAGTTAGATAAATATAAACCCTCACAAAGAGAAAATGTGATTATAATTAGTTGAATGATTCTTTTTTTTTTAATGTGATTATAGTTAGTTTAATAGTTCTTTTTTTTCATTTATTTATTTTATTGTGGGAAAAATGTGATTTGATTGTAGTTTGTTCAATGGGTCTTTTTTTTAATATGATTGTTGTAGTTAGTTCAATGGTTTTTTTTTAATGTTATTTAATCTTTTTATTTACTATTTTAATTTTATTTTTAACATGATTGGAATCAAATAAACATAAATACTCACAAAGAAATAAATGTGATTGTAATGTGATATGATTGTAGTTTGTTCAATGACTCTTTTTTTTAATATGATTGTTGTTGGTTAGTTCAATATTTTTTTTTAATGTTATTTAATCTTTTTATTTACTATTTTAATTTTATTTTTAACATGATTGAAATTAAATAAACATAAATACTCACAAAGAAAAAAATGTGATTGTAAAGTGATATGATTGTAGTTTGTTCAATGACTCTTTTTTTTAATATGATTGTTGTTGGTTAGTTCAATAATTTTTTTTTAATGTTATTTAATCTTTTTATTTACTACTTTAATTTTATTTTTAATATGATTGAAGTTAGATAAACATAAACACTCACAAAGAAAAAATGTGATTGTAGTTAGTTTAATGGTTCTTTTTTTTTTAATGTGATTGTAGTTAGTCAATGGTCCTTTTTTTCATTTATTTATTTTTTTTATTATGGAAAAAATGTGATGTGATGTGATTGTAGTTTGTTCAATTTTTTAATGTGATTTAATCTTTTATTTACTGTTTTAATGATTTTTTTTTTTACAATTATTTATGAAAAAAATATGATTGTAGTTAAATAGTATAAAAATATTTGTGATTTCATTTGATTTTTTTCTGATTTGATTTTTAAAGTACCAATTATTAATAATGATTAAGTAAAAGGGGGTTTTTAACCCCAAGCATTGTGGGAGTTCTAATCTCCCAATCTAAATTTTTTAATTTTTTGATTTAAAAAAAAAAATCTTAGCATTTGTTAACTTCTCCCAACTTCCAAGTCTTACCCTCATAATAACACTTTAATGCATTAAGAACAAGTATAATTTTTTTTTTTTTGAAATCCAACACATATGAATTCTTTGAAAAGTTCAAACACATATGATTATTATTCCTCATAATAACACTTTAATGCATTAAAAACAAATATAAAAAAAAATTATTGAAAAGTCCAACACATATGATTATTATCAAAATATTAAACTTTAATATAATATAAAAAAGGGAAAAAAAAGACATTTAAAATAAAATAAAAAAGAAAACATTTAAAAATCACAATTCACATATATAGATAATTGTAAACACAATCCGTGCATAGCACGGGTGATATGCTAGTTAGGTAATAAGCTAAAAGATTTGGAATTGGATTCTCTCTAGTCCACGAAAGATTTGGAACTGGATTTTCTCTAGTCCACCATTGAATCTCGTTGTTTGGGCTCGTGACACTGGCACAACAGATCTTACGTTAATAATTTAAACTGGTTACGATTTAAATTATAACATGTTAATCATTTATAATAAAAAATTTAAATTAATTCAATAATTATAATCACTTTATTTTATTATATTAGTCTCTCAACAAATAGATAGTGTAATTTTTAAATAATATTTATCGTTTGTTTTTTTTTAAAATTATTTTTAAGTCTTGGAAAACTTATTTAATATGAAATCCTATAAATATTATTTTAGAATTTGAAATCCTATTTAAATAGGAATGTGTTCCATAAGATTCTATTAGTTGCAAATAAATGATATTAGTGTACTATTATAATTCTAATTTGTTTCCATATTGTACCTTATTTTCTTATTCATCATATCACATTTGGGAAGACTTTTAGGAAATACAAGTCTACAGGCAACGACCATGTGAATTTTTTTCGCCTTGATCGCGGAATTCTAGTGCATTTTCAAAATGTTGTTTAAATGGATATGGATATGGTCGATGATATGATGAAGTTTGAGGGTTATGCGTTGATTCCTTTGACAGATTTCGACTACAATCAGTTGAGGAAAAGTATCACGACTCAAACCCGCCTCTACAGGTTTACGTCGTAATCGGCTAGTAATCCTTGGATTACCAAAGTTCTCAGAACAGAATAACTTATAAATAGGGGCTACGGAAGCAAATATAGAATTATATACATAATCTATTGAGCTGTGTAGACATACATGAGACAGATAATCTTAAAATTTAAAAGTATACATATGACGTCATAAAGGTACAGTATTTACACGTCATCCCATATATATAAAAACAGAAACTTTGTTCGTAAAACAAAAGAGACAAAGTCTTAAACATTCACTAAATATGACCACCAAACTTGACTTAGTCCAGAACCTTCTCGGGAAGCGCAAAAGGTGGCTGACAACACAAAATTCTTTAGGCATTAACTTAGGTCTGGTCACGAGCCTGCTCACCTATATACATAATAAATAAATAGTGAGCGAGGAATCAGTGAATAATAACAGAGTAAAGAGTTAAATGAATGATGTCCCATAACTAATTTAGAAACCAGAGTTCATATCGAAACAGATTCACTTTCGTATTCTTGTTCTGAGCATATACAAAAATCAAAGTTCACGCTTAATCTTATATGACTTATCTATTAGCGCTAATAGATCTCGTACAGAATATCAAAGGTCATACTTGTCAGTTCCATAAGGAACCTCCGGCCGAGTACGGATAACTTGCCAGTTCTTTAAAGGAACCTCCGGACTGAGAACGGATAACTTGTCAGTTCTATAAAGGAACCTCCAGTCAAGTACAGATAACTTGTTAGTTCCATAAGGAACCTTCGATCTAGATATAGATAACTTGTTAGTTCCATAAGGAACCTCCGATCCAGGTACAGATAACGTACTTGAATCATAGCATAAGTGCCACAAACATTTGTTAGAGCTGGTGTCACGATCCAAACCCGGTACCCAAAGGCTCGGCCATAAGTGCCACAAACATTTGTAAGAGCTAGTGTCACGACCCAAACCCGGTACCC